ATGTTGCTTTATTTTAATTACAAAGAGTGTTTCATTGTAATTGTTAATGTCGGGACGACATTCAATTTTGTAGGGGAGTGTGTGACGTAGTTTATATTGGGTTTCAGCCACCCCCATTTTTTTGTATAATGTATTAGTCTGTTATAGAATTTATGATCAAAGAGAGATAACTCTTGGATGTGTGTAAATCCGGAATGTGGGGTATCTTGGGTTAAACTTTTATTGTTGCTGAAACCCGCCAAATAAACGTAACGTACTTCACCTCTCCTGTTCTTTTTAGGTAAGAACATAAATTTGTACATGTTAACATGTTTGTAACTGTTTTCTTGATATATAATATGTTTGATATAAGACATTTTGTTTCTCAAAATATTGCGATTAGGTGAATTTCAATGTATTCGCTAGTATTTTGATGCAGCATGGTCTAGTCACGTGGGTAGAGTTCAGTGAAAAGTCTTTATTTTGAGTTTAAACAATAGTGAACAGGTTATATGTACAGAATTGTTATGTTATAATCACAGAAAGTATTTGCTAAACATATAGATTTGATTTTCTAAAGAATATATACAATTTCATTTGATTCCGGAATTAGTTGAGTTGCACGGATTAGAGTCATGTTTTAGAGTAGTGTAATCTGTTTCCGGTTTGCGACAAAACGTCAACAAATACAGATGTAAATGTGTTTTGGCTGTTTCGGACATAAAGATATGGTATTATAAAATATTTTATTGATAACTTATCAAACGGAATCTACTAGCCACATGTTTTATTCTAGTCAGTGATATTTTGATGTCATAGTAAATTAGTAGTTGTAAATCCCCTAGACTAAATGAGTGTATGTATGTATAATAATGCGTATCTTGTGTTAGACTTTAAATTGTTGCTGAAACCCGCCAAATAAACGTAACGTACTTCACCTCTCCTGTTCTTTTTAGATTCTGCCAGGCCAGGGTAACATACAAGCACAAAATATGCTCCAATAAATGCTCACAGACGACACTTCGTTTAATATTGCTATCCGCCACAGGAGCGGCCGATCTGTGTGTGGTTCATGCAATCGGCAATCCTCTGCTAACCCCGCTACGCTTCATACAAACCTCGAGGTTAGTGTGTGAGGTACGAGCAACGCAAGGAAGTCTGAGTGTGGTTATTGGGGGAAATGAGACTGTATTATTCCATTGGATTCTCCTGCCACCGTTCGAAACATTACACCCGAGTTGGATGCTGGAATGTCCGGACATTATACTAAACCGGAAGACTTGCACAAGCAGTAAATGAGATGAAACAAAAACAACTTATCCCTGCTGGGCATGAGTGAAGTCGGGTGGACAGGAACAGGAAAACAGACTGAACTCAGGGGAAGTCATTATAGTGTTAAGAACCATCATGAGGGAGTAGCTCTTCTCATCAGCCAGAAGTCTGCCAAGATACCGGCCTTCAGTGGAAGCCTATCGATGAACATCTTCTGTATGTCAGACTCAACTCCCGGTACACGAAGGACTCCACTGTGAGTGCTTATGCACCAATTGACAATGAAGAAGAAGAAGAAGCAAAAGAAAACTTCTACAGCTCTCTTCAAGCAGTACTTGATGACATCCCAAAGGATGATGTCACACTACTGATGGGGGACTTCAATGCTAGAGTTGGACAGATTAACCTCAACAGGAAAAGAGTGATGGGCTAAGATACAGTGGTCGACCTAACAGACGAAAGGCTCATCTGCATGTGCGAGGAAAATGACTTTGTCATAGGCGGCAGTCTCTTTGCTCAAAAAACTATCCACAAGTTGACTTGGACATCACCAGATGGAGGCACCAAAAGTCAGATCGATCACATTACGATTAATAGTAAATGGGAGCACTTTCTACAGGACGTGCGAGCAATGAGCCATGCCAATATCTGTAGAGACCACAACCTTGTTATAACTAAGATTAGTCTTAAGCTGAGAAAGGCCAAGATCGGTACTAATAAGAGCAAGCGATTTGACGTTACCAAGCTCAAGGACCCAAACTTCTGAGAAGAATTCAACATCACGCCCAAGAACCGATACAGCACACTCTAAGACGAGACAGCTGTCACTATCGACCAATTCCAGCAGGCCATGAATGATGCTGCTGCAGAAGTCATAGGCTACAAGAGACGTGCCAAAACGGTGTGGTTATCCAAAGACACGTGATCCATCATTGAAGAGAGGAAACATATAAAGAAAAACCTCCTAGGTGCTAAATCACTAAGATTGAAAGAAAGGACAATCGTCTTGTACAGAAAGAAACATAAGGAAGTGAAGAGTCAGCAAGAAGAGATAAGCGCCGATACACGGAGTAACGTTCTGAGGAGGCACAGGAAAGTGCTGAAAGGAAAGACATAAAAAACGGTTACCAGATCATGAAGACACTAATAGGTGATCACGGTCCCAACCAAGACCTCCCATTAAAAGCAGAAGACGGTTCAGCAACTACATAGGAAATAGCAATACTAGAGAGGTGGAGAGAAGATTTTGAGAATATTTTGAACCGACTATTGATACTTTCTGAAATTGATGAGGCAGAGACAGACCTTGAGATAGAAATGGGCCATATCATGCTGAATGTGGTGACAAATGCAATCAATAAACTGAAAAATGGTAAAGCCAGTGGAGTGGATGGTGTATGCCCCGAGATGCTGAAAGCAGAAGGAAAAGAAACACCCTACATATTGCAGCGTATCCTCAAAGATATATGGGATAAAGAGGATATTCCAGCTGACTAGAAGAAAGGAGTCATCATCAAGCTGCCCAAGAAAGGTGAACTTGGGGACTGCAACAACTGGCGTGGGATTACATTTCTCTCTCTCATCAGCAAGGTCTTCAGTCGCATCATACTACAACGCATCACAGATACCATAGAAGACATACTTCGCCAGGAGCAGGCCGGATTCAGAAAGGGGAAATCCTGTATTGACCACAAATTTGTACTAAGGTAGATACTGGAGCAGTCATGTGAGTGGAACAGCATTTGTCGAATTTGAGAAGTCTTTTGACATCTTACATCGTGAATCTCTCTGGAAGATCCTGCGTCACTAAAGGCATCCCACAGAAACTGATACATATCATCCAGTCCTTCTATGAGAACTTTGAGTGCTGAGTGATGCATAACAACCAGCTCACATAGCCCTTTTGCGATGAACACCGGAGTGAAAAAGAATGTATCAATATTCTGTCGTCCGTGCTATTATCCCTTGCAATTGACTGGGTCGTGAAGAACATCACACAAGACAAAAGACAGGGACTGCAGTGGACACTGACCTAAATCGTAGAGAACCTGGATTATGCTGATGACCTTGACCTCCTATCAAACAGACACCAGGATATCCAACAAAGACAGAGAACCTCAATGCAAGGCTAACAAAATCGGATTGAAGGTCAACACCTAAAAGACACGGGCCTTACAAGTAAACACCACTAACAGAAATCCAGTTCTGGTCAACAGTAAGCCAACAGAGGATGTTGAGGAGTTTACATTCCTGATAAGCAAAGTCACCACTACGGGCGATGAGACAGGAAATCAACACCAGGATCAGCAAGGCAAACCGGGCTTTTGCAATGTTGGAGCCCATATGGAGATCCACAGGACTTAACATCCACACCAAGATCAGGATCTTCAACAGCATTGTCCTCAGTGTCCTCCTGTATGGATCAGAGTGCTGGAAGCTCTGGCAATTGAAAGAAAACTCGAGTCTTCCAAACCAAATCCCTCAGACGTATTCTTAAGATCTTTAGGTCCAACACCATCCAATGAAGAATTATTGAATAGAACTGGGATGCCAACAATATCACAGACCATCCAAACAAGACGTTGGCGGTGATTTGGTCATGTCAGTCCTATGTATGCCCTCCAACTCACTGCCCAGGGTTGCCCTTCGATTGACACCCAAGGGGAAAAGGAATAGAGGCCGGCCAAAGGAGACTTAGAGACGAACTGTCCTCAAAGACCTGAAGAGCATGCGGAGGGCTGACCATGGAGACAGCGCCTCGAGTAGCTGCAGACTGCAGGGCCAGATGGAATTTTTTTTTAGCAACCTCAAGCACCTGACGTCACAGAGAGGATTGAGTGAGTGGTAATATACACAGAAGTTATGAATAGAAGCTTTTAAAATTTGCTAAATACTTTAGTCTAAATGGTTATTACTACGGTTCAATTAGTTTTTCATTTCATATCAGATATTTATTAATTTATCATTTTATAAAAAAGTTATTACATGAACTGCTCCCCCACATGGGAGTGTGTTTACAAGATACAGACGCAAAACGCAATGAGTTTTCGGATATTTTAAATTACCAAGCTAGAAGTCATAATGATGAATAAAGATTGAAAAGGTTTGAAGAAGTAAATTTTGTTTGAATACACTACAGATACTAATGCAAATGACACAATATTTTTTCTGCACTTCACATTTATTGTACATGCGATACATGTCTACTAGTGATGTGTATTTTTTACATGTAAAAGAAACAGCTCATGAGACCATGGTCGCTTCTAAACCAAAACGCTGTCTCTATTAATAAATATACCTCTATTGGCGCGTGAAAAGTTTGTACGTATTTTTCAAAAAAAAAAGAAAAAAAAGAGACATTTATAATTATAAATTTTAGACTGAAAGGCCTATATGTTACATTTGTCTCCAACATAATTCATATTCATTAATGTTAGTCTCCATCTTGAAAAAGTAATTTGATGGTGATACATTTCTATCCATTATCTCCAATTCACTGAAAATTAAAGTATTTAAAAAATGCACAGAAAAGCTAGCTAAATGTATAGAGTCTTGCAATAAGAGTATCGCATGCTTTTTCTGCTCTGAATATTTTTCTTTTGAATCCTACCTGTGGACGTACTTTAAATGTTAAATATTAACACTATTAAACATTTTTGCGAACCGATTTCGAGTCCATTGTTACGGGCTCGAGATCCAAAATATTTTTAGCAGATCATGTGACGGAAACAAACATATGACTGCTGACTAAATTAGTGTAAACTGAATAGCAATGCGGTTTCAATTAATTATCATTTATATATCGCTTTTGATACTTTCTAACATATTTAAGACATTCAGTGCTAAATATGAGCCAAACTGGGCTTCTCTTGACTCGCGTCCTCTACCGGATTGGTACGATAAATCAAAAATAGGGATCTTTATCCACTGGGGGGTGTTTTCTGTTCCCAGTTATTCGTCAGAATGGTTTTGGTGGTCATGGAAGGGACAAAAAGTACCTGGTGTTGTAGACTTCATGGAAAAGAATTACCCGCCAGATTTTACTTACGCCGATTTTGCACCTAAATTCACTGCTGAGTTTTTTAATGCTGACCAGTGGGCCCAAACATTCCAGGCCTCAGGAGCAAAGTAAAAAATTTATCTTTGAAAATTACAATATAAAAAAGTCATAACACTTATTGTTGGCTGACTTATAAATAAGAAACTACTTTGTAAATACGATAAGTTGTAGGATGAACAGTAATGACACAACACCGGTTTCTAATGTACTCTACTTTCTGTTATGTTATCATAAGATGAAGAATAGTCTGTTATCATTTATGTTTATCAGTAAAAATGTACATTTATGCATTAATTTCACTAAATCAGTCTTCTTCATAAAATCCAACAGCAACAATACATGATTTTTACCTGCAGGTACATTGTGTTTGTAAGCAAGCATCATGAAGGTTTCTGTAACTGGCCATCCAAATATTCTTTTAACTGGAATTCTGGTGATGTGGGACCTAACAGAGATATAGTGGGTTAGTCTGATGATTGCTCTGTAGTATATATTCTCATAATGAGGTCTAGTTAAAAAAAAGAACTGATGTTTTCTTACAATGTCTTGAATGAGTTATTGGTATAGACTTGTGGAACAATAAGACCATTTAAATTTTTGTTGTTTTCTCCAAGTGCAGCACCAATCTAGTAAATAAAATTAGACCTTTCAGCTCACTCTTCACTAATCTATTTGTCGCTCCTTTCTTCAGCGACAAATGCAGAACAATGAAGCCCAAGATAAAAAGCCCAAGATAAAAAGTCTAATTTTAATTAGATTGGTTCAGCACATAATTTACACTTGTATAATTCCTCCCAAGTTTGTGATGTGGAATTGAAAGATAAACAATATATATGCATTTACACTTACTGCAAATCGCTTTGCATTGGAAAGAACTTTATTTTCATGCAATTTCGTGAAACTAACTGCTTACAAAAATTTCATTATTATGTATATTTTTATCATTAAAGATTACACAACCACCATTCCTGAAAACTTTTGTCTTGCTTATAAATCAATAATAACTTTCTTTACGAAATTAAGGTGCCACAAAAATTTTGTGATCTACAGTATATTGGACATGGAAATGTGTGTTTTATATCGAGAAACATGTATATAGAGTAAGTTCATGTTTCATAACTATCTTTTTTCAGGAGAATTAGCAGACTCAATAAAAAATAAGACGGATATTCATTTTGGACTGTACCATTCCTTATTTGAGTGGTTTCACCCACTTTATGAGAAAGACAAGGCCAATAACTACACAACACAGGACTTTGTCAGGGTAAGCACCAACAGAAGAGCTACAGTGAGGGAAGCTGTATTACATTGAATTCTGTTTATGTATTTACATTTTACAAGGGTTGTCCCAGAAAAATGTGAACATTTTCAATATATTTTGTTTCTTTAGTATTATAAAGTTAAAAATTGGCATGCATTAAAATCAACATTTTTTAAAAAATTCACAGAAATTTTAGTAAAATATCTCTGTATATATCATTTTTCTCATTTGGTAAATGAATCATAGCTGCACCAAATTGTTCTTGATTGTTAATTAAAAAGTTTCTATCTTATGTTGTTGTTAATTGTTTTTTTTTTTTCCCAGGAGTAGAATTTAAATTTCATTTATAAACCATTACAGTTACCTGTAGGGCGTATAAGTTATGTACATGCATACAAGCTTTTTTTATGCCCAATCGAAAGATCCCGGGGGTATATTGTTTTTGTCCTGTCTGTCTGTTTGTCTGTTTGTCCGTTTGTCTGTTTGTCTGTCTGTCTGTTGTCAACTTTAACCTTGCCCGTAACTTTTTATTGGTTGGAGCTATGACTTTCATATTTCACGTGTGTATTCCCTGTGAGAAGACCTTTCTTTGGGTACCATCATATTTGACCTTTTGACCTTGACCTTGGAGTTTGACCCACTTTTGCAAAATTTTATGAGACTTTAACCTTGGCCATAACTTTTGAACAGTTGGTGCTTGGGGTTTCAAACTTCACATGTGTATTCTTTGTGACAAGGCCTTCCTTTGGATACCAGCAACTTTGACCTTTTGATCTTGACCTTGGAGTTTGATCTACTTTTGAAAAACTTTAACCTTGGCCATAACTTTTGAACAGTTGGTGCTTAGGGTTTCAAACTTCACATGTGTATTCCTTGTGACAAGACCTTCCTCTGGATATCAACCACTTTGATCCTTTGACCTTGACCTAGGAGTTTGACCTACTTTTGAAAAACTTAACCTTGGCCATAACTTTTGAATGGTTGCAGCTAGGGCTTTCATACTTCACATATGTAATCCTTGCGACAAGACCTTTCTTTGGATACCAACCACCACTTTGACCTTTTGACCTTGACCTAGGAGTTTGACCTACTTTTGAAAAACTTTAACCTTGGCCATAACTTTTGAATGGTTGATGCTAGGGCTTTCATACTTCACATATGTAATCCTTGTGACAAGATCTTCCTTTGGATACCAACCACTTTGACCCTTTGACCTTGACCTAGGAGTTTGACCTACTTTTGAAAAACTCTAACCTTGGCCATAACTTTTGAATGGTTGGTGCTAGGGCTTTCATACTTCACAGGTGTAATCCTTGTGACAAGATCTTCATTTGGATACCAACCACTTTGACCTTGACCTTGATGTTTGACTTTTATTTAAAAAACTTTAACCTTTGCCATAACTTTTGAACAGTTGTATCTAGGTCTTTCAAATTTCACAGGTGTATTCCTCGAGACAAGACCTTTCTTTGGGTATCAACATTTTTTATCTTTTGGCCTGGATTTTGACTTACATTTGAAGAAACTTTACCCTTCGCCATAAGCTGCCATACGGGGGCATCAGTGTTTCACAAACACATCTTGTTTTTTTTTTTTTTTACATTTTATTCAGACAAAGACAATGCCAGAGCTGTATGAACTTGTTAACAGATATAAACCTGACATAGTTTGGTCAGATGGAGACTGGGAAACAACAGACACATACTGGAATGCTACACAATTTCTGGCATGGCTGTATAATGAAAGGTAGGAATGCTACACAATTTCTGGCATGGTTATGTAATGAAAAGAAGGACTTTTCTTCGAGGTTTATCACTCTTTGAAGTTTTACTATTTCTTGAAATGAACATAATGAATTTGGTATCTTTAGACATGTCAATCCATTTATAAATGCAGATCACTGATTACTTTTTATTCATATTCAGTAGGCCAATAATTTTTTTCCATACGATTTGTTTATTCCTTATTTTGAATAGTCTTAGGAAGTATCATTCATTGACTGACTGTAATAAGATTTCTTTGGGATGAATACACTTTTTAAAACCATGTTTTAGTCCAGTGAAAGACACAGTGGCTGTAAATGATCGATGGGGAAATAACATCAGGTGTAAACATGGAGGGTTTTTGAATTGTGATGACAGATTCAATCCAGGTATGTGTAACTAGGTAAATGTGCCTGTTAATTAAATGAATAAAATGTAAAGAACCCAACCCAAGTTTATACTTTGACTTCAGTAGACATCAGTAGAAATGACCATCTATAGGAACTGTTGAGGACATATGTTTACAAATGGTTTAATAAAGGTGTGGATTAAAGCTGGGAAAAAAAGACAAGTGTATTTTTGTGTTTCAAAAATTTATTTCTTCTTATTTATTTGTTTGTTTAGGAAAATTGCAGACGAGGAAGTGGGAGAATGCAATGACCATTGACAAGTTTTCCTGGGGATACCGCAGAAGGGCAATCATTACTGATTACCTCACAATGAAAGACATAGCAAAAGTCATAGCTACAACTGTAAGGTCAGTCAAAGAGTAGTTATAGAGTTAGATCCCTTTACCTAAGTACAACTGTTAAGTCAGTTACAGAGTTAGCTCCCTTTACATAGCTATAATTGTTAGGACAGTTCAAGAGGTTAGCTCCCTTTACATAGCTACAACTTAAGTCAGTTACAGATTTAGCTCCCTTTGAATAGCTACAATTGTTAGGTCAGTTACAGAGTTAGCTCCCTTTATATTGCATCGTTTATACAGAGGGTACTTCCCTTTACATAGCTACAAATGTTAGGTCACTTACAGAGTTAGCTCTCTTTGCATAGCTACCTTTGCATAGCTACAGCTATGAGGAGATGCTCCGCTTTGCGATACCCTTGTTTCTTTTAAGTCAATCATATAATTTTATCTTTTTTTTAATTTCTGGTAAATGTGTTTTCATGAGATCAACTATAGAGTTTATGCCCTTTAAACAACTATGCATGTAGATGCTATTAAAATCAGTTGTAAAACTTGGCAGTTGGTATAACTGACAAGGCTCCATTTGATTAGCTTTCACCCATAGATCAGTTGAAGAGTTATGAGTTATACATTCTCTTATCTACTACTGATAGGGTTATCTTTTTATAACAAAAGTCATGAGCAAGTGATCATGTGATCTCAAAAGTAAAGTAGTAGCAGATTGAGTGAGTGCTAGGGCCTAAAATTTTGGGAGATGAATGTTCAAAATAATGACATATGTTCAAAATAGTGAATCCTGAAGCAGTAATAAAGTATGGTGTCCGTTCAATAAACCTCTTATATTGTTTTTTATCAGTTGTGGAGGAAATGTGCTCATCAACATAGGACCAACACATGACGGGCGGATTGCACCTGTATTTGAGGAACGCCTAAAACAAATGGGTCAGTGGCTGGGAGTGAATGGAGAGGCCATCTATGAATCTGTGCCCTGGAGTCACCAGAATGATACTGTCACTCCGGATGTGTGGTACGGATCACAATAATTAAACAAATGTTTGATGGAGAATTTCTGTTACTCATACTTGGAATATGATTGACATATACAATCCATAAGGGCACCATGAGCTGGTGGGAGGCATTTTCAGCTGTATTAAAATAGATTTCTTGTTAAAAATTTATTAAGTTATTCATAGAAACAACTGATTTTATGGTTTGGAAACTAAAACACAGTACACACTCCACAGCAATATACTAGCTTGTACAGTGTCATTGATACATGTACATATACATCTGGGTATTGTTCCGAGGATAGCATTGTTATTACAGGGCAAAGCTTTTTTATGCTCCACCATGAATATGGCCAGGGAATATAGTGTTTGTCATGTCTGTCTTCCATCCTTCCACCTGTCCATCAGTAACACTTTGTGTGTTTAATTCAGTTTCAAAGAAATATATTCAAGATATTTTATATCAAACTTCATATGCTTATACATATTGGTGAGAGCTATTCAATTGCATCAAATTTTCTAATCTTAACCTTCCATTTGACCAGATATGTTTATGAAACAATATATATGCTGACACATATTGATAAGTGCCATTCAAATGCATCATAATTTTTTACCTTGACCTTCCCTTTAACATTGACATTAGCTCAGTTTCAAAGAAGTTATTGAAGATATATTTATCAAACTTTATATGCTTATATGTATTGGAAGACTATTCAACTGCTTCAAATTTTTTTACCCTTACCTTTCCTATGGCCTTGATCTTATTTTATTATGCATTTAGCTATATATTAGATATTTTTATCTTAACACATATACTGATACATATTGGTGAGAACTATTCAATTGTGTCCAAATTTTTTACATTGACCTTCCCGTTGACCTTACCATTTATTGTGTTTAAAACTCGGTTTTAAAGAAATTATTCAAGATATTTTTATCGAATTTCATACAATATTACAGACTGGGGAGAGCTATTTAAATGTGTCATAATTTTCTGACCTTAACTTTCCCTGTGACCTTGCAGGATTTCACTATTCCTCATTTAGAAAGTACATTTTTTTTCATGTTGCAATACCAATGAACGCTGGGCAGGGCATCAAAATTTTTAGATCTAGAATGCAAGGTGGTATTTCATATATAGGAAAAACATGATTTAATGAAAGATATATAAGCAACACTTAAATTAAATAACTCACTTTTATGATTTTCTTCCTTGGTTTCTTAAGAAAAGTCCAATTTTAAATGTAAAGGGTATAGTGTCCTTCATAAGTGTGCTTAATTAACCTTAAATGTACAGTCATATTGTATTATGATTTATAAACAGGTACACATCAAAGAAAACATCACAGGGTATTGCTGTATATGCCATAGTCTTGAGTTGGCCCAAAGCAAACCAGCTATTGCTTGGGGCACCTGTTACATCTACAACAACCGTGGTTTCCATGCTTGGTTACCAAGGCAATTTCAGCTGGAAACCCAATACTGGTAGTGGATTGGTCATTCAGATACCGGTTATACCTTTTGACAAAATTCCAAGTCAGGATGCTTGGGTGTTTAAACTGATAGGACTCAAAAATTGAAGTGGTTCTATTTTAGATTCTCTTTATTATAGTGCCTTGTAAAACCTGCACAAGGTTGACTTTGAAAGTTACTTCTCATTGTAGATTAACATTCTTATTATTCTCCACTGTGATTTATTTAGCATATTGGTAGAAAAGTAAATTGTTATGTCAGTTATTTATGATAAAGACAATCTCACTTGAAAAAAAAACAGGTATTATGAGAAAGGTACATATATATTAGACATAAATATTGATTTTATTTACATGTATATTATGTTTTCTTTCTGTATATTTATACTATGAATTGTATTTTTCAGTCAATTTTCTTTTCACAAAGATACAGACTTGCATTATTTTGAGAGGAAGTAGTTTTCAGAAATTATCCTCATGATTTCGTGTCACTTCCTGTTATACGGTAATTGATATGAACTTTAATACATTGAAACCTTTTTTTTAAAAGTTCAGTGTATGTTATGTTGCCTGTTCAGTTTTGTTCCTTTTATGTAACTCTGTTCAATGATTTATCCAAGGTACATGATTTATTCAAGGTACAATTTAAAAAAAATCTATAACAGTGACATCACAAAGTTCATTAGTCATAAAGTTCATCAGTTATATGTACATAGTGTATGTTTTCTGTGATTGAAAAAAAATGTTTATATCAATGAGTCCTGTGATTTTTTTAACAAGTGATATAATAATGTATTTATACAGATATGTTATATTTATACACGTACTTGTAAGGGGCACCAAACTCAGTTGAAAATTAAAAAAAAAAAAGCATCAAACAGCGCGCATCATCACAAAAAATGTAGACAGTATTATGTGTAACTTTAGTGTGAAAACAAAACCAATTTGGATAATGAATAAGAATTGTAATGTGATATAATATTTGCAAATGCTTATATTTTTTAAGCCTCTAGTGTTGTGTTATTGTAATTAAGGTACTATTTTGTAATTGCATGATTTAAATAATGTAGTTAATATGGTAATTAAAAATCCATTAAATTTCCCTTTGCTAATAGAGTGTTAGGAAAAGCAGACAGTATGGGCAATATTGGAAAAGTAAATGTATACTATTCTCTTTCTTTATTATTATTGTATACTTAGCATTAATATTCTACATACACAACTTAATTTCTCAGTGTTTTTGATACCACAGTGTTCACCAAAGTGATACTGACTTTCTGTTTAGAACAAATTTTTATTACTGTATATTAACATACTGTATAAGTGGAATTTTTAGTGGGACACAAATTTAGCGATTTATCCTTAAAAATTGGTATATATTTTTAGCGAGAAGTAATTTTATTTTTTAATTTTATAATGCCAACAAAAGAAGCTATTACAACCAGTATGCATTTAAATATTAGCGATATTCAATTTTAGCAATCTGAACACCCTCACTAATAATGCCAAAATTTAATCCTTGCTAAGAATTCTTCTTATAAGGTATATACAGTGTATATGTCTCTAGATAAGATGAATGTAAATTATTCAATTGAAGACAAAACATTACTTATCCTTTATAATTACATTCCAATTATTATGCAATATCATCAATATCTAGAATATGCTGAATAAATTATGTATTCTTTTCTTTCTCTCAGTAAATGTCTAAATCCTTTAATATTGGAGATTAATAACAAGATGAATTAAGCTATTTCTAAAACATGTATACATTTAATTGTCTTTCTTAGAATGATTGATTTCCTTGATTTCCAAGTAATCTTGCCAAGCATTATCAAAAGAGAAACTGTGATTTTCTTAAGAGATGAATTTAATTTTTGAGAATTCATGAGGACATGAACTTCGACGCTTTACGCCGGCATATTTCGTGAAGCGTGTAGTTCACGTACCTCATGAATTCTCAAAAATAAATTCATATATTTACATTATTTTTCTGATGACTTGCCACATATCTTTGTCATACAACGATCATTTTTGAAGAAAAAAAAGGCACTATATTTTTACTTCAATCACATCACAATGGAAATATTCTTACTCATTCGAAGGTAGTTCATGAGAACATGAACTTTTTCCAATTTGCAAAGGATCATAAGGAAAAATATTTGAAAATGTAAATATTAAGTCATTTAATCTGAGGCAGTCTAAGGTTGAAACCGAGAAAAAGAAACTTAGTGGGGGGGGGGGGGGGACAAAGCAAGGGAGCAAGGATGAGGAAAAATCAAGGGCTATTATAATCTCTTTTTTGTTTAGTGGTTTCTTTGCTCTCAAAAGAAGTTGCCCAGGCTCTGTTGAATTGCTGTCCTCACTGAGTTACCTCCTTAACCGAAGGACCAGTAGAGTACAAAAGAGACAACTTTTGATCATTGTGTCTGTACGCCGTGCACTGGTAGAACTAATCTACTTGATAAAATATTACGTCTGAAAATATCTGTTGTGTTAAATATATCCTACATATTTTGGGAAACAAGTCATCAAAAACATGGAGCTTGGTAGGTAACTTTTCAGGCAAATATTTTCTGTATACATCTTATTGAGGTCTACTTGTGTGCCAAGTTATTTTGAAATCGGACCAAAACTGTACAAATAGAATTTTGAAAACTTGTTTACAGATGAACAGACAGCTAGACAGACACCTTACTATGGCTCTTCTGGTCTCTGACCAGCAAAGCAAAAAATTGCCGGCTATTAAACTACTTGAACCTGGTCATTCATCCATTGGACATATAAATCTAATGCAATGAACATCCCAAGATGCACCAACTCATTAAGTTTTATCACTCCAAAAATTTTGCCATCCTTCCAAAGTCAATATGGTACAAGGGTTTTTTCACTCCTTTTTATCCAAATTTTGTTGCATTGTAAAGAATGGAGGTGTCCAGGGCGAGGACAATCCCCTGATCTGAGACGAGATGTTTCTCAGTTCTAAAAGTTCATAGAAGATTTATATTTTTTCAGAATTGCGTTTCATATTCTTTACACATTTGATTCTCTCATTACACGATAGAACAAAAAAATTGCCTCATTCACGATTCAAACTCACTCCAAGAGCATAATATTAAACATCTTAATCACTATGCCACTTTATTGTATCTTGAGTGAATCGGTGTGATCTAAATAAATAGGTTTGTAGAAGTATACAATTTTTTTCCAGAAAAAAAATTTTCATATAGAATGGGTTCAGACTCTATTTTTGAAACATATTAAATAGATTTTACATTCATTTTTCCATAAGAAGATGGGCGAACAAGGCGAGCGCAATGCCTATATAGTGCAACAAACATGAAGGTGAAAAATTAAATCTCGATTATTTCAAAATTTTCTGTATTTCATCTAAAATTAAAGTGTACTTTATGTAAAATCTCCACAATTCATAAAAATCTCACTAAGATTGAAATTATTTTCCAATGAAATAGCATACACACACTAGAGAGGGCAAAAAAGGATCATTTTCTCATACTAAAACACAATTTTTCGATTTGAGTGGGTCTTTGCTCCATATTTTTCTCAGTTTATCCTCAAAGTTTCTGAAAAAGTATTTTTTGGTCAACAAATACATGGAGCAAAGACCCACTATACCTTAAAACTACACTTTAATGACACAACATTTTCATCTTTCTTAAAAATACTTGGAAGTCCATTTAGTCAAGGGTCATATCACAAACATGATTTAAATGCCACAATTCATAAAGAGCTGTGTAGCGTAGCGGTTAGCCTCAAAGGAAAATGATATTCAAGATTTTTATTGCTAGGGTTCGAACCCCACGAATACCACACTATATTTTTATTAACAGAATATTTTTTGCCAAGAAAATTTTCCTCTGGTAAGTTTTGTTAATCATAATTTCACAAATTTCAAGAATGAGAACTTTACTCTCAATACTAAATTCACGAACTGATTATGATTTTTATACATCTGAAGCTATGGGCATTCTGCGCGCCTTGTTCGCCCATCTCCTTTAACATTTATGTAGAATGAAGAGTTGACCCATTCATTTTCAAAATATCTTAAATTCCCATAGACCCATTTTCTACTAAAGATCCTTTAAAAATATTCATCATCAACTGCAGAGATGAGGGAGAAAGTGCAATGCATCCAATGTCATCCACTAAAGATCCTTTAAAAATCAACCTGAAATACAAACTATCCCTCAATGTTATTCAATAAAAAGAATGAATCAATTGTGTTATCACTGAGAACATAATTGTTGAAAAATAAAACTTTTCCATGATCTTCAAAAATTTGAGAAACATTGTCTCAGAGAGGGGGACTGTCCTCCCTTCGTACACCCCTGTTCTTTGCAACCTTCCAGAAAATCTCTCGGTTTCCACAAAGTCCATAAATTTTAAAATCTATACTTCTAGAACACCAGTCATTTCTTTTCCACTTGTAAAAAATTTCATGCAACTTCTACACCATGGTATACAAAAGTGTGCCATTGTTAACATTTGGTAATTCAAATTTATTCTTGAACTCACGTTTCAAACTATACAACTACAATCAAACAGCAATCCTCTTGGTCACTTTATTTTAAAAGAGATAGTTGGTTTTAAAATTTATTTATGATAAATGGACATGAATAATAATAATAAAACTGACACAAACACTGGTACTATAATCTAAAAACCAAGGAAATGAGAGTCCATGAGATGAGTGATGAGGATAAAAATGTCTGCTAAGTTATATGACAGTCATAGTCTCTATATATATAAACTTTTAAACAACATTCAGCTAGAGTCTTTTGTTCAGCTCCCTTAATCTTTCACATGAACACATTATTGCGCTGCTTTCTGCTTCCCCTTTCCAATGAGTGACTTGTGAATATGTGGAATGACACCTAAAGAAATAGAATCAAACATTAAAAGTAATCATATAAAGTATCAATTAAAATTTAAGTAGTATTTACTACAGTTAATGTATTTTTCATTGATTTAAGATGGTTAGCTAATACTTTTGTCTTTATCAAGAAGAATTGGCCCAAGTACAAGTACAACCTTTACATAGCTGACACAACATTTAAACTCAAGAGAAAGACTGGAAATATACTTACCACCACCAGCAATAGTAGCTTTAATTAAGGAGTCCAATTCTTCATCCCCTCTGATGGCAAGCTGCAAGTGACGGGGTGTGATACGCTTTACCTTCAGATCCTTACTAGCATTACCTGCCAACTCCAACACCTGTCAAAATTCAAACAATAAGTTGTAGATGCAAACATTTTGGTAGTTTATCCTTCAATATTTAACATGTTATACATTCATGGAATCTAGGATTCATTGTAAACTGAATACAAATGAGGGAAACGTTCAAGTATTGAAGCAAACAAGATGCTGTCAGTCACCATAAATTATACCGCAGATACAGGTAAACTGATGTCCATCATCAAAAATACTTCTTGTTTTTCAATAATTTTCAATTGTAAGGGCTCGACATTACTTTTTTTTCCTACTTGTCCATTCGGACAAGTGACCAAGACATTTACTTGTCCGAACTTCAACTTCACTTGTCCGAAAAATTTTCAATAAAGATCTAATACTGTTAACTGAAAAACTAAAAATAAAGTCCATTACATGTGCATGATGTTATTTATAAATACAACAAACACATAAAAACTAGAGATAAAACAGAATCCAAACTTCGTCAGTTCCATGCCTTTCCAGTAGTATGCAATTATTGAACTACGACCCCGATCGAGTGTACTCAATTACATAGCAATCTACATCAGGATCGAAGTTCGGTCTTTATGTACTGTTTCCTTCATAGGGACTTGAGACAATCTTAGCAAAATCGGGTATATAGTATAATAAGGCTCTACTATATACCCGATTTTGCTAAGATTGTCTCAAGTCCCTGTGGTTTCCATCTTAAAGTACCTGTAAACTTTCAACAGTCGTTCTTTTAAATATTAAGAGACTTATTAACATAAAAATGCACTTGTCCAATTGGACAAGTGCCCAGCAATATTCACTTGTCCATTTTTTTTTCCCACTGGTACCGGACAAGCGTTAATGTCGAGCCCTGATTATGGATCTCTCCTCTCATCTTATCCAGTAAAAATGTAACAATTACACACTCAATATGCAAATCTTAATTCCTTATATATTTATCCATTTTCAAAAGTGTTTCTCATATGTTGTCATTATATGCATTCGTGATTCCTCTTTTTTTCACCAAAAACAACGATCAAGTACATCATTATACTGAAAAATCTATCCTGAAATTTGTACTGAATAACTGTACTAGCCAAATGTTGTAAAAACTTCCATTCTTTAAATTTTTTTAAAACTATAAGAATAACACAAAGATTGCAATATAATAATTTCTTTTGAAACAATACTCGATAACTTCAGGAAATCTTAGCTTGTACTTTCGAGTTTGCAAGATAACTTGAACGTTTGCCAGTCTATACTGAATTAAAATTTCATCAACAATAAATGTCTTGTGCAAGAGGGAGTAATCCTTTCGAAAACAAATATTACTTAAATTTCAAATCTGTTTATCAGAACTTTCAGCTTGAATAACTTGGCGCTCAATGCATAACAATAATAGTGCATCCGCCATATTGGATTTTAACCGCGAAAACAGAAAGTGTAAACAAAGACATAAAACTCGAATTTCTTGAAATAATTGAATGAAACAGCTGCTCTTTGTGAGCAAACCTAATAAAAATACATTAAATGCACATTCTGCACTAGGTCCTAGCACAATCAGGCGTTTGCTTAAGATGCTACAACCTTTTGAAAGTGGGGTACCCCAAACCAAAATTTTGCATGGAAAAAACAGATAACAAAATTGGTACGAAGACATTATTTGCGTGCACTGGACGTACCTCAGCTGTAAGATACTCGAGGATAGCGGCACTGTAAACTGCAGCTGTGGCTCCAACACGTCCATGACTTGTAGTTCTGTTTTTCAAATGTCTATGAATACGTCCTACGGGGAACTGCAAAAAATATGCAAAACTAATGATAATAAGTTATGAAAATAAAATGCAACTCAAACGCTGGATTAAATACAATCTTAATAAAATATGATAGTATATGTACTGACCTGCAATCCTGCCCTAGCCGAACGAGAAACTGCCTTGGCCTTCGCTTTTCCGGAATCTTTACCTGCTTTACCTCCTGCCTAAAAATAAACATTACACTGAATATATTTCCACCAGAAAAACTCAACACTTATGCCACAACTCGTATTATATACAATTTTGCATAGATATTTACTCGATGGTTTAAATTTGTGCTGATATTTGAAGATTTCTTACCATCTTTGCTGCCTGATGAAATCAATCTCAAACCGACGCTAACGAAGGCCACCAAAGTATATGCCAGTTCAAGGTCACGTGATAAAATAAGCCAATGGGTAAACTGCAAATGAAAACAAAGGAGTTATTTCTCACGACAACTTTGAGCGATTCATGAATACCAATTAAAATTCGATCGTCGATAATTTTCTATGAGTTTTACTCATATGACAATTTCTTCGTGTCATGTATACACATGAGCGTTTTTCATACAAAGGGAAATAACTTTTACTATGACACCAGAATAAATTTGGAGAAGGGGGGGGGGGGGGGGTTATACCTGCCTTTTCAATTACTTCATGCTACAATTAGATTCTATTGCACAATAAATATTATAATAATTAATTGTAACGTAAAGTTTTCCTTTACCATTATATCATAACTTACTTACATGTACAAAAGACATATAAATATTTATGTCTCTGCATGTACTTACTTATCTGAAATATCAAAATAAACAAATGTTATATAGAGTCCAAAAAATTATACTTCAGTTTTAACAATATTGTATATATTGATTCTGTATCTTCTATATTAAATAATCTTAAGTATTTATAGGTATTAGACATTTATAGAAAGAACTCCCTTGAATTGCTTACTTTAGGCGTTTTATGGTTTCCAGTTTCGATAAAACAGGAAATTCTGATCTTGTCAGACAAAGGCGCACAGCGGGTACCTAGGGGGTACACAGAGTTCACACCCGTCGTGTCAGATAGAAGGGGAAAAGAAAACGTGTCGCTCGTAAACCATAAACAATGCCCCCCATGGTTATATCACAATCTAACACCAAGTATATTATAATTTGAGTTTAAATTTGTTTTACTTATTATATAAATAAATAAATAAAGTGATTACTAATTAATATAAAGCATTAATATTACAATATAAATCAAGATGAATTTGATTTAGCTTTACGAGATTTTTTAATCTTTAATTATCTACATGTTAAACTGATTTAACTTCTGAACATTTTGTGTAGGTTTTCTATTTGTATGGGTTTGGGGTATATCATATACAGCTCCTGATGTAGGAAAAAAGACAAGTTATTCTTTGTTTGTTTATTTATTTATTCATTTATTGTAAATTATTTATTTATTTATTATTATTTTTGGTAAAATTAATCAAGGTAACTTCCTGTTAAAAAAAGGCATGTAATATAATCTACTTTATTTTCGACTAGTAATATATGTGTATGAGGGAGTCTATAAAATTGATTTTTTTTTTTTTAATTTAATAAAGGACACACAAAATATTCCATTGAAATCAATGAACTGAATGGGAAAAAAAGACTGAAAAGTAATAACGATATGGACCAAGACATACAAGAGGAACTTAATAGGTTGAACTTTGGCTATATTTTGACAATCATTTATACATAATATTTCAAAAAAAAAAAAAAAAAAAGATTTCTGTTAATGTAAAGCTATATGATGTTTGCTATTATCTGTAACAATGCTCGAAGTGTGTTATCCAAATACCTGCAGGCATGCTTATCAAGCTATCTTAGGACTAAGACATTTCTTAGTCTTAAGTGAGGCCAACGAAGCTATTCTGTCTTAGAAGACTTCCTAATCTTAGTTCTAACTTTAAGACGAAGTTATCCTAAGACATATTCTAGGTGATTTAAGACGCGTTAGTGCCTAGAAAACAACTAGGAATTATTGAGTGCTCATTGTTTATGTAATTTAATCCAATAATTTTTGTAAAATATTAGTTTCTTTTATTAATTAAATCAGCACTACTTAACATTGTGTGGTGTCACTGTATATATGTATATGTAAGTATATGTATGTACCTGAATAAATGGAAATGGAGAAAGTTATAAATGAAAATCCATTCATTAAGGATATCCGATCCTCAGCCAGGAAGGATAACTCTTAAATTTATTATTTTATTTAAAAAGATCTTTTCGTGCAACAATTTTCATTTTATGCATCTCAATATGATTCAAGGTTCTCTGAAGTCTTAGAAATGGTCTTTTAAAAAGTTGACAATTGCACCCCATGAAAGAAAAAAAATTAATTTTTAGAGAAATCGGATTTCCTTTAATCTATCATTAGATCCCAATGCTTATTAGCATGATATGAAATTAGACATGATCTGTGATGTCTAGCAATGATAACACAAGCATTTTACACTATGTATTACAATGTCGTGACTATTCCAGGTACAACTCTTGAAAGACAAACAGGGGCAAATAACTATACGTATAGGGGCAAGTAACTCCTGCCCGCCACCCTGCAAGCGGTACCAGATAGCCTCGACCATGTATTACATAACAACTGAAGTAATTAGAAGAACTAAAATACTGTATAAGCATAAAAAAGATGCAATTTTCTCCAAATGTCTGGATACCTATATTTTTTTTATCCTAAAATATATTTGTTGATCAATTTTCAATTAGAAAATGCATAGCTGATGTTTTTATTCGCATTTCCTGAAAATATATTTGAGAATTGATAATTTTCCTTATATAATATGATTAACTTTAATGATGAACTTTGAAGAAATACGATGGATAAATTCACGTTACTCTGTGAAATCAGAGACATTTTTGTGAGCATTTTCCATTACTTAAAAGCTGATTTTCAGAACCTGAGGATCGGAGTACCTTAATTGATGTAGTAATCATGTAGCAGGTTAAAACGTTCTGAAGTAGTTTTAAACTCTTTTGAAATGGCTATATATATATATATATATATATATATATATATATATATATATATATATATATATATATATATATATATATATATATATATATATATATATATATATTATAATATATGTTTTATATATATATATATATATATATATATATATATATATATATATATATATATATATATATATATATATATATATATATATATATATACACCAGTTTTTAATCTGTTCTCTTTATTTGATGAGAGGGTGTATACCCCATCTCTCTCTCTCTGAATTTACTGACCCATTCTCTAAAAAATAAAGCATTTCCTTTGATGTTTTTTTTATCGGTGAAAAATGCAACAATAGGAAAATCATCACTTTGTCCGTAGTTTTATCTTCAAGTTTTGCATTTAATACATGTGTAATGTGCATTGTACCAACCTGTCACATATGTTGTAGACACAGCCGTTGTTAATGACATAGAAAACACACCATAGGAAATATTTAAACAAAATCAATACTCAGATAAATGCGGCATGCCCGTAGAACGCGGGGGGGGGGGGGGGGCAGGGGGCCCGACCCTCACTTTTTCTGAATATAGTATTTTATTTTGCTATAGTAAATTTTCCTTTATAAGCTGGTTGCCCCCCCCCCTCCCCTCCGCTTTTTATTGCAGTAAGGCTGAGCACTGGTTATTTCCTATTATTTCCGGCTATTATTTGGACTGTTAATAAGGTTTTTTTTTCTTGTCACATTTTTTTGGGAAGCCCCCCCCCCCCACTTTTGAAACCGTTGCTACGGGCCTGTGAGGGCACTATCCCCCCCGTTTCCAAGAGAGAGAGAGAGAGAGAGAGAGAGAGAGATTCCTGTTGATCTAAGGGGACAAACAACGACAAGAAATGATGGTTAAAAAATCTATCTAATTATCAATATTTATCGGTCTCTATATAAGTAATGTAGTGGGGTTTTTTCATATGTAAATATTTTATTGCTATGAATAAAAAATTACTATGAATAAAAGAATTCTGTAGTTTTAAAGACCCTAACCATGGAGCCTGATTAGTGCCTTGATCCTGGAGCCTAATTTGTACCTAATACATTATGTATCCTAATGGATGCCCTAAATGTATTAGGTGTCTTGACACCTAATGATGGTGCAGCAGACCCTAATACTCGGAGCCTAATGCCCTAACAGGTGCCCTAACTATGGAGTCTAATGCCCTAACAGGTGCCCTTGCTATGGAACCTAATGCCCTAACAGGTGCCCTAACTATGGAGCCTAAATGCCCTAACGTGCCCTAACTATGGAGCCCAATTCCCTAACAGGTGCCCTAACGACATTAGGTGTTAGACAGGGTATATAAAGAGATCACTTTGTATACTAGATATAGATTGTACTTGAATTGTAAACTGTTGAAGGATATATTTGTTAATACACTCGTTAAAACAGACTCTGGTGTTGTGTCTGTATTAGATCTATAAGGATCTATATTTCCTAACTTAAACACAGGATCCACAATATTTTGTGACGCAGGGGCGAGGAGATACTGTTTAACCACTTACCATAGACAGGTGCCCGTAAAAACGTCGCAGTATGATAAATATATTGTTTTAGGCTTTTGATTTTAAGGGAATATGTCGAAATAGTGGTGTTGCAAACTGGTATTCCGCCTTCAAAAGTTTTTTTTTCTAAATTACTTATCCAGTAATACAAATTTCTATGAATACACCAAAATATAAAGTATCGTTTGTTTAATTTGTTTATTTCTTGCTAGCTAGATTGTAGACATGTATCTGTTATATATATTAGCAGCTGAATACATGAAATTGGGATAAGAATGGACTTAACTGCTACAAATTTATAAATGAATGGAAATCGATGAAATAGCGCAATTACAGATTAAATGTGGGACACTTACTAATATATACCACATGCGGATCCATGCATTTCTTTCTACGGGGGGGGGGGGGTTGTTAATTGTCCCCCACTCAAAAACATTCTCATGCAGATTTTTTTTTTTTGACACTCAAGGAAAAAAATACAAATTCTCCAAACCTGATAATCCTTTTCTTGTGTGTGTGTGTGTTAGTGAGGGAGGGTGTGTGTGCAAATGGGGGTTATAAGTCGCTTGTCTTTACAAATATATACAAAACACTAGATGAAATCCCGCGCAAGCGCAGGGAATTAAATTTATACCACTACCGACAGAAAAATTCCAGTAATATATATTGTAGTTTCCACTGACAGCCTACAGGCTTAAAGCAGGAAGAAATACTTTGTTCAAAATCCCGCATTTAGCATTGGAGCAGAAGTAGATGTACGCCCCCCCCCCTTTTGTAAAAACTTGAAAATAACAATTTCATTAATTGACGCTTATTGTGAAACCTGTTATACTATGTTATGGATACTGTACTTCAGGTGCTCTTA